AGTCTCGCCGACCAACCCGAATCTAGGCTCAGAGCCGATTTAGGCCCGGGTTTCCGGGCATTTCTCAAGTCTGACCGGGGCTGACCCGGACATCAGGCTAGGTCCGGGTTAATGGCCCGTTTGGACATCCCTAAAGTCAGCCCAGAATATTACAAATGTAAATTATCATTTTTTTCAAAATAACAGGGTAAATTTTTTATTTTCCTCAACAAAAAGAATATTAAAATTCTACGATCCTCGAGCACAAAATGTGGTGGCAGTCATTGGTAACTTATGCAAGCATACGTTCTCTCTCACGTTTTTTAAACAGTCAAATTGAATTGTATTTTTACTTCCTAGGTTAAGTCAGGATGGTTGGATAAGTTTAACTGTGCTATTTATATCTCCTTAAGTAGTCTTGAAAATTCAATATTTTCTATAAATTAAAAAATATATATCTTTAATAAAAAAATCCCTTTTCGTTTTTCTTGTAGTCTATTTATCATATTGTCATCAAAAGCAATAGCACCTAGAAACAATTCCACTGGAATCAAATTTGGAGATAATTTCATTTTTACATTTTGCTTCCAAACTTTTCAACTTGTTATTATAAGCATTGCAAGCATAATAAATTTGTAAGCTAAGGTTTTCTTCTAAATAAAATAATTTCTTCTAAGAAAAACAATTATAGTTTATAAACCTAAGTCCTAAAATGATTACCGAAAGAAGACCTAAACCTAGTAGTTTCAAGTGGTTGATTCCTAGTATATAAAAGTAGAGAACAAATGATTTATTCTTCTTGAAATTTATCGTGACTGCTTTTCTTCTTCTAAACTCATGTGTCCATATTAAGAAAAGAAAAGAAAAAGGTAAATTGCAATTTTAGAAGACAGTTTGCTGTGATATAATCTCATCATGTCACTTCCCTTGAGAATGCTAGTTTTTTGAAGTTAATAATTTCCTTTTAACTGTATGAATTTTAAAGGATATACGAGCTGCAATATCAACTAGCACGGTGAATTGGACAATTACTATTGGTCATTATTTCTTTTTTTGATAACCTAACCCAAAATCTAATCGAAGATCGTGAGAGTCAGATTGGAATCTCCCAATCATTCCATAACTAATTCTTTAGACTTGCTAATTGTCAACGTCACACTTAAATGTTGTTACGTTAACATATAAAAAAAAATGAATGCCTCAAACCTCAAACCTCAAACAGATCTCCAAAGAAAAAGATCCTGTATATTCCACAAATTTAACTCTCTAAGGGCCTGTTTGTTTGCACCGAAGTAATTATGAAGTAAAGAAGTAGATGCTACTTCTGTTACTTCCAAGCAAAAAAGTGTGTTTGGTTCTTTGAAAAACTTACTTCCAATACTTCCTTAAATGTTTATGTGGCGCCTACGTGTCATTCTTACTTTCAAAATTTTTTTCCAATCATTAATACTTAGAAGTAGCTCAGAAGTAGTTGAAATGCATATTAATTAGGAAATAAATAAATTTTTATTAATATTTCCTTTATTAGTTACTTCTAACAACTTTTCATTGATAAAATTACTTCCTAGCAATATTTCCAAATGTTATCCAAACAAAAAAAAGTAAATGAAGAGGAATAAGTTCTACTTCCATTACTTCTAAAAATATATGAAACAAACAAAAAAAAAAAAAATTCTATTTGCACTACTTCCAACTTCATAGTTTTGAAAGTTACTTCTATAACCTATTTTTTACTTCCAATACTTCCATTATCCAAACGGGCCTTAAGCTTGACAGCTTGTGAACATAAAAATTATAGCCAACTTATTAGCACATGTACTAGTTCACATGCTACATTTAAAAAATGCAGCGGGGACGCATAAAATTAACAATTCAAATTATTTTTGGGTCCCATTATTATTTTTTGACATCCTATGGCAATTTCAAAATATATTAAAGGAAAAATTTGAAAACAAATCCATTTTGAAACTTATTTATAAAAAACGATTTATTCTCAACTTATTTGTCAAAACCGACCTAGTTTTAACCATCTGGCTGAAACTGAGTCGGTTTCAGCGGAAAAATACCAAACTTCACGGGAACTTGAAGTCCCGTGAAGTTTTTTACATAACAAAACTTCACGGGTCTTGAAGTCCCGTGAAGTTTCGGAGAAAATTTTCAAAACCGACCCAGTTTCAGTCAGATGGCTGAAACTGGATCGATTTTGACAAATAAGGTACAAATAAGTCATTTTTATAAATAAATTTCAAAAGGGGTTTGTTTTCAAAATTTGTCATATATTAAAATACCTTCTTATTTAAATTTAAATCTGCATCCTCCTAGGATTTTATTCGTGAAAAAAACCGAATAAACTCATTTTTGGGGGTATATTCCCGCCCCTATAAATACCGCGTGATCCCCTCTCTTCGTTCTTCTTCTTCCTCCATCAAAACTTCAGTCGCAGAAATAAATGGAGCCGAGGAGCATTTCCCAAAATGGAAACATTTCTGAAAATGGAGGATCCTCGCTGATCTTTCTCGGCACCGGCTGCTCGACTGCGGTCCCCAACGCACGGTGCTTGATCCAGCCCTCGGATCCTCCATGCGAGGTCTGCTCCCGATCTCTTTCGCTCCCGCCTGAACGAAACCCTAATTACAGGTCAATTCGATGATCGATCTGCTTTTTTTCTTTTTTTAGTTGTTTAGATTAGTACATTTTTGTTCGATTGATTTGTTTGGATCTACGAATTCGGGCTGATTGTTAGGGTTTTGCTGTCTGGTTCGATTTTATAACCTAGGGTTTATGAATTTTGCTGGATCTGATGGATATTTCGATTTATTGAGGAATATAATGGATACATGCATTCATTTCAACTTAGTGATTCACAAAGGAATTGGGAGTATTGAGAACTCAGATAGGAAAAGGTTACTGCACTAATATAGGGGAAGCAATGGAAGCCTTTCTAGTTTAAGTTTCTTCCATTCTAGTTTATCTATTGGAAGATTGTGTAGATTTTTCAATTGAACGGATTGCGATAAAGGAATTCCTTATGGTTGGTTTAAGTTTTAGCTACATTGAGATGGTGAGAGGTGAGAAGGTGAGAGGCTGAGAGGTTATAAGCTGACCCTCAATAGGAATCAAAATTTTCCTTCAGGCTCGCAGGTTACTGCTGAGTAGGGGTATCAATGGAGGCTAAATCTGAACATACACCCTTAGCCTCATTGTGGTCCGTGATCTTGCTTACAGAAGCTGCAACTGGATGAGGTTATGAGACAACTGGGGTGTCAAAAACGATAAATATTTTAAGATACTGTCAGTCAAAATATTGTACAATTTTGTCAAGCGGATGAGTACAGAGAGGTGGGTGGGAGAGAGGGAGGGAAAAGAGCGTATCGTCTTACTCCTTTGGAGACGACACTTTCAACTCAATTGAGCCCTCATAAAAAAAAATCAGAATTTCATTTAACCTCATGGCCTAGGTCTTTTAGTATGCCAGGGATCATAGGCAACCAAGCCCTAAATAAGCCAAGATGCAGTATTAGACAAGACTGCATATTGGATAGTTTTCCGTGGAATACTTGTGACTAGATGAAATCATGAAAGGATGGAGGGAGGCAGCAGCACATCCAAATTGGCACTTGCAGCATTGGATATGCACCTTCCACACATCTATAGTGAGCCTCAACATGTGCACTCAACCCCTAAAATTAGGTCATGTCAACAACAACGTATCATTAATAAAGCTCGAATAATCTAAGTGCATCTCTAGACCACACTAGAATAGTTTTGAAGAGACAGCTTGGAACAGGGTTTATATTTTCATAAGCAGTTGTATTCTTGATTTGTACTCCTTAAAAACTTCAATTGTGAATTTGCAAAGGTTGGTACCTTTACGATTCAATACTCCAAATTGGCACCAGCATTACAAATTCTTGTCATCCACTTATTTCTTTTAGAATGTTTTTCTATTTTTTCTCTTGTTATTTTCCTTCTCGTGTCATGTTCGGTTTTGACATCCTTTTTCCTGTTCCTCCAAGCTATACTCGTCTAGTGGACTCAAGATAGGAAACCTTTCTATTTGTGAGATCACTTATTCATATTTATATCTTGAAAAAGGATGAGTTACTAGACAATGGTTGATATCGATCTAGTTATATTTTTCAGAGTCAATTCATCTGTCATTACACTCCATGTGTTGGCTGTATTATACATAGTTTAGTTTCTTATCCTCTGAGGTATTTTCTCCATAGTAGTTCACCATACACCCTAATTCCTGTACGCACATACACACATATACTGATACCTGGTTTTCAGTCTCATAAAGCGCATTCACTTATTACACCTTAGCTACTCTTTTACTTTCTTTATTGTCAAAGTCAAACGTTCATGTTCTAACACTTTTTAATAGCTTAGGCATTTATTTCATTTTCTTAGTCTGTTTAAGTTTAATTCAAACTACCAACGAACTAATTCTTTGATTTTTAGCTTCCCTTACAGGTTTTTTATTTTGTAAACAGGTGCAATACTTCTCTTTTAATTGATTATGCTCGAGCTGATGGCGAACACAAGTATATATTGATTGATGTTGGAAAAACCTTTAGAGAACAAGTCCTGCGGTGGTTTACCATTCATAAGATTCCTCAAGTGGATTCTGTGAGTTTAACCTTTCTATTCTTTTGAATATCAGACATTCAAATGGGGATAACTAAGGATTAGCAGTGAAAGGAGTTATTGTTAGTTGCAATTTTTCAATGAAAAAAAATCTTCTATTCTTTTGAATATCAGACATTCAAATGGGGATAGCTAAGGATTAGCAGGGAAAGGAGTTATTGTTAGTTTTTGTAAGTTTTCTTTGAGTAACACATCGTAGATTGTAATTGAAAGGACTGATTGCATTAACTGAAAATATCATATTTGTAAACAAGAATAATTTCCATTCTTTGACTGCAGATTATTTTGACACATGAACATGCAGATGCAGTTCTTGGTTTGGATGACATACGTGTTGTACAACCATTTAGCCCTACAAATGATATTGATCCAACACCCATTTATCTTACTCAATATGCAATGGACAGGTATTAATGACTTTTTTAGTTCATTATTATCTAATTTCTATAGATGCTTTCCTCATTGTTTATCTAAAAACCAATTTTAACATTAGGATTGAGGCACTGTGGTTGAAGAGGGGGTATAGAAACTTTATGATTGATGCAATGTCCTTGCTATGTGAACCTTGGGCATTTAGATTTTTCATTATTTGATTTCAGTAGCCTTTATATATTAGTGCAGGGGCAGCTGTACAGGCGGGTGGGGGCATGGGTTGGTGTGTGTTTTGTGTGTTTGTCTATTACATATCCACACACAAGCACATGTATGCATGCAAACATGTTTGTATGAATGTGTTTATGTATGCATGTATAGGTAGGTATGTATATGTATGCGCTTGTGGAAATTTGTATGAGGTGACCGCTCATTTTGCTACCAAGAGATGGACAAATTGTGAGGCCCACCCTATTAGTCATGTCAGACGTGTGGGCCTCACCACCTTTACTTACTTGGTAGCTCCGGCCACCTCACAGTCATCAAACCATGTGTGTGTAGACACACGTTCCAGAATGGTTCTCCACAAATGGCATGTCAGTTTTTCGTATAATCTCTGTTTCCGACAGACTTACTCATATTTGTTTTACTGTTCATAAAGTCAATATCAGTTGCAGCCCTTTTCTTCCATAGACCAGTCAAACACAGATTTAGGTCTTGTAGACCCATTTTCAGGACGTCCTGTCATACGCAATTGATCTTCTTCTTGTTTGGGGTAAAATCTACCATCTCTGATTTTGTGGAGATTGTGATCCTCTCGAAAGTATTTACTTTATGTTTGTATTCAATGCTTGGTTACTGAACACTTCATTTGGGCTTCCGTATCCATGTTCGACACTTCCCGTATCTCCGTCTGACTCTTCCCGTATCTGTTTCCGTGTCCAGTACTCCTTAGACACTTCTTGAATATATACATACACTAGTCTTTTGGCCCGTTCCAAGCACAAGCTAGTGTTTTCTCTCTTATATTACTTCTTTGTTCTTAATTTTAACCACCAAACCCCCACCCCCAAATTAGTCAAAATTAATGACATTATTACCGCAAGATAACAAATATTAATATTAGGAGATACATACCATGTCATGTGCTCAAAAATCCATACAAAAATATGTAAAAGAGAGGTCATCATCTGAACTTCCATACATACACTCATCTAAATACATTTATGCCAAAATACATCCAAAAAAACTGTAAATAAATAATGTTTTCAAATTGCTATCACAAATATATGAGAAAAATGCAATTAAACACTTTAAAATAGTGAATCTTCAGAAGCAAATAACTGCTAAAATAGTGTGCAGTTTATTCTCAAATGCTTATAGCTAATTATGAGAAGCTCAATACTTATTTATATATTTCTTCAAGTATTTAGATATTATAAAGTTTCAATGCCATCAAAGGATCAATCCTGCAAAACATCATATGAGAGAGGATCAATACAATATCTCCAGATATACCAGTATCATAGAATTAGACAATTTATAACTTCAGATTTAGAAATGCATCAAAATAAAGAGTTGAATCTTAATTACTTTGTTGACTTTGTTGATCTTTCTATTCATCATTCTCGTCGTAGTTGAAAAAATAGTATCAGCTGATTATTTTCCACATTCCCTCTCTATAGCACTTTTGTTGTTAGCACATGTACGTGCATTCCTAGCCAATATTTTAGAGATATGCCCATGATCACTAAAAAACAAAACTCAGGAACATTATACTAAAAGAAATGAAAACCTATGATCACTATACTTACCATCATTGGCGAAGAAGAGAGGGGTTTGCATGAAAAATCCAAACGGTTGTTGAGAGCAGTCCGTCTCCTTCTACTCGTCATTTTTGAAATTAGATAAACATCATCAAAAAGTTGAAGAATTAAAGAGATCCCCTTAACTTTTAGATTTGTAGTTATCTTTCATAGAACCATATTCATCTTTCACAGAACCATATTCATCTTTCACAGAACCATTTCACAATTGTAGATTTGTAACTATCATAAAATATTTATGGGTTTGTATTTATTTTTCGTAAAACGATTTCACAATTTTAGATTTGTAGCCACTACAAACTACTTTTTAAAGTGCAATTTGGTGCAAGTATGACTTGTTTGCATCTTAAGTGCCCTTTCATAACTTGAAATGACAATAAATACAAATAAACATGAAACACACCATAGCTTAATCATTTGTCTATTTACCAAGTTAAGATTGTAGTCATGGTTGACAATGTAAATGTTTTTTCAATTAATAATCTAGTCTTGCTTTCTTAAGACTTACAAACATAATTAAGCTGACTTGTAATTTGATACAAAAGGTGTTGCTGATAACTTTCTACTAATTCAAGCCACCTATTGAATCTTTGATTCTCTGATTCTCCTCTACCTTTTTGATCTACAAGTCCTCATGAAGAAGCATCAATTGCCAAGAAAAAGTATACTACCATAAATTTTCATGACTGTTCAAAGTCAGCCTTACCTCATTCAAACATTGTAGGTATTCACAGAATTATAATATAATTGATAGTGACATAATCAATTTATATTGTACAAAACTTTGGATATGCACATTACCTTACATAATAAATTTTCAATTTAACGAATTTGTCTTAGTGGGTATTAGTTCAACATATTTTTCTAATCATAATTACAATTCGGAGCAAATAATATTTGAAAACTTCACATAATGCTAAAAATGAGATTTGGAATCAGATTAGATGGCATGTTCATATCAAGCTTATCATTTTATTTTTCACATGAAGAAAACAACTGCATAACCAAAGAAGTTCTCGATTTTCTCATCAATAGAAAATACCAAAGTTATGTTCGTGAATACCAATTAGACGAACAATATGGAAAATATCAAATTCTGACATTTGATACAAACTTAACAAAATAATTCTTTAAAACTGAGTATATTTCTGAAAGATCCTCACATCATTTGAGGGGGGCAATCCGCTCACTCATTATCGAAGCAGTACTCAAAAGTTCAACGATAAGCTCACATGCTTTAGAGTTCTTAGGATTTTATCAGAATAAATAGTTAGACTATTGATAGGATTTCGATAATATTACGCATCTTTTCTTGCCCCTTTCTCTTTCTTTCCTCCAAATTCTCAAAATTTCCTGTAAATTCAGAAGAAAATAATCCCAATGCACAAAAGACAAAAGATTAAAATAAAAAAATGCTTCCAGATACAACATCTTAAGTATTATATGATTGAGAAATACTAAATTAATATTATTAACTTAGTATCCTTTTGTATATGACACCTTAAGGATTGTAGCCAAGGATTATAGCGAAAGTGATACTAATATTAAAGATGAATCTAATGAAGAAGAATTGTCAAATATTGCACGATGGGCCCAGTGATATCATTGTTATTAAAAATTAAGAAAAACAAAGAAAATAAACTAATAAATTTACGGAGAGGCGGGTTACACAAATTTTAAGTAAAAAGATATACTTAAATAACAAACGAAGTAATCAATCCAAAGGTATATTAGTGATGTATCAGGTCATAGAGCCAAGATAAGCACATAAAAGTATAATCTAACTAGGACCCTTCAAGAAATAATCAAAACCCATAAAATTTAAATGCAAATCTATAGCCCTGACTTGGAAAAGAAAGTTAGAACTGAAATTATCATAACAATGTCTTTCAAGCTTTTCGCAAATCAAATGAGTAACATGGCAAGGAGATATGCTGCAAGATGACCATGAACGAAAAAAGTTAGAATTTGTGATAATAGCAGGAGGAGTATATTTGCACAATAAAAAGTGGCAGAAACAATCACCTGGAGCAAGCCAAACTTTTTTCAAAGGTGACATTATCTATGAAACAAGTTAGAAGGATATCGATAATATAGGCCTTTACCCGTAGCATATTCTATATTTGGATGGGCTTTATGCTACGGCTCTAGACCATGAAAGTTTGATATAAAAATTTGTATAGAAATAGAGAACTATTGTAGTAAGAACATATTTTTTTTTGTCCCCAAACAATAAATAAAAGTGTAATTAAATATATATCAGACCAAACATCTTCTTGTTCAAGAATGTACATAGGCGAATTGTTAGCTCTTTGTGATCGCCATTTTCAATATTCCAATTGGTGAATAAAGCAAGAGATAAGAGGGCGAAACTCAATCGCAACTAAAAGAGACTAAAAATAGCAACGACTTATTTTAGGGGGTTTTAGTGGTGGAAGAGAAAGAGAATTTAGAAAGGTGATGAAGAAATTGAAGGCGAAGTAGTAATTTTACTTTAGTTGCAGAGTTTTGCTAACTTGTGCAGAAATCACGAAAGATCTGCACTGAAAGATGAATTTCGGATAGTATATGAAAACAATATATGCTAAATTTGCTTTAGAGAAAGACGTTGATGAAAGACATAGTGATGAGTAAACATCTAGAGTGTGAATATAAAATCATAAAAATTAGGTAAAAGAATTAACCCTTCTATAATTAACAATTAATGTGAAATTAGTGATAAACTTTCACTCTGAGATAAATTAAAATCTTGATTAGACAAACACAATTAGTGATAGTACGTGATTAGAGAAAGGAAATTGAAGACAAATACAACTAACCTACAAAGCGGTTATTTTGATCTGAAGAGAAAATAAATTTGGTAGCTTGAAATGGACAACTGAGATAAGAGAGTTAAATTTGAAATTTGAATTATAAATTTTTAGGAGAACATGAGAGATCCAATTGAGGGTTCAACTCCCGCCTAATTTGTACATACTACAACTTGTTAGAAAAAATTTATAATATTTGAATTATAGTAAGCATTATGGATAGATTAAATGATCTTAGAGTATTTAAATTTAGAAACCAACCCTCAAACCAAATCCTACTCTCCAATTTTTTTTTTGCACAAGGATATGAAATTAAAGACCCTTGTGACATCAAAATAGCGAAAGGTTAGAACTTTTTTGATCATATTTGCTACCAATTCCTTACCTTGCAATTTCAATTAGATTTCACAACATTTCTGGGAAATAAGTCAAAAGTTTAGGAGATCTCACTACAGGAGAGGTGATGAGGGACTCAGAGAGGAATTTCAGCGAGTCGAAGAGGAATTCTTGAAATTGACCAAGTCTTTATTTTAGGAATTCCACCATTCTGTGTATACTTCTGCTACATCTTAGCAATATACCTCGTAATATACTCAATAGTGACATGATCCTCCATCATCAGCTTGTGACTCTGGCTCTCAATCCTCGTTCGATTGATCAAAACCCTAGCATTAGCCTCGAGTCCAATGTAGGGGAGGGCAATGTGGTCATCGAGGTTAGCGATCTTGCTTACCGATCTGAGATTGAGATCAAATCAGATACCCCAACCCTAGTTTTTAGATTTTGTTTGTTTTACTTGGAGTCTTGGAGTTTGGTGGTGGATTTCCTCTTGACACTAAGGATGACGTTGTCAGTGCCACGAGTTTTGACGGCAGCTTTGTTAAGCCTCAAGGTTGTATTCTACTAGGAAGAGGTGACCATCGGGGGAGAAAACAGCGATTATGCGATCATAGCGCCATGACCAGATTCTTTTACTTTTTTTTTTTGTAATTTGATCTTGATTTGGGTTTTGGTTGAGAGAGGAAATGGAGAAGAGGGGGTTTGCCTAGGTAGAGAGAGAGAGAGAGAGAGAGAGAGAGAGAGAGAGAGAATATGAGCTGTATCAAGAACAATTTTTTTTTGAATTTTGAAATTCGATCTTAGGGGCTCCTGATAAAGAGGTGACACCCATAAAAATTTACTGCTGATGTTGTAGAAGCAATGCTATTTTAATCGCATTAAAATTTCTAGAAAACCGGCTAAAACCGTTAAAAATTGGAAAATGTTATTATAGTTGCTACAATAACTTTCATTGTTTTGCTTTAGTAGTAAAATAGTAGGTTTACTCGTATGTGTACTCAACTAAAAATACTCGGGCATGTGCTCAACTAACATTTTTAGTTCAAATACTCGTGATACACTGCTTGGATGTACATATTTTCTCAAATTTCTGCAACTCGTTGGAGTTGTGTCGAGTTCATTTTAGTGCATACCCACTTCATAAGTATGATTTAAAGGGTCGTTTGGGTATCTAGTTAAAAACATGGGGTTTTTCAATTTATAATCTACTCAATGAAAGAAATATAAATATGTTATTGCGTTTTTTGTTCTCATAACATGTGAGTGAAAAAAACAATATCAATCCCTATAAATTATTATTTTAATTGTATATGTATAGTTGTCTCCCTATATCCTGCCTTTTACAAATTTGTTGCATGACTTGCGTCCCTATCCTCACCCATTTTCGTGTCCGCACCTGCGCTTGTACCCATGCAACATAAATTCAATGCAAATTCTTGGCTACTCCTGCACTTCTTTAAAATTAAATGGAAATTTCATACATGGGTTTCGTTCATTATCAAGATTAACATTTGTTGTCACTAAAAGATAAAGTGTCATGCTTTGTTCTCTCTCTCTCTCTCATGTATGGGTAGGTGCACGAACATACTACTCTCAAGGGCCGGTGATTTTTTTGTAAGCTTTTCGGCTCCAACAAATCCAGATTCTGAAAATAAAAATCAAAACAGGAAAGTTACATATATTTTTCTTATCATAACCCAATGGCGACGCTAATGTACAAGGACAATGCATGCTTGCTGATTCTTTTCTTTTTTTTAAAATTTAATTTCTCTGTCATCCCTTTTATCTTCTTTCTTTTTAAGCATGTTAGACACGTTAACTTTTTTGCTTTGTTTGTAAACCTGACAGATAGAGTGCTTAGGAATTTCCTAGCGTAAATTCTAGCAGTTTATTTCTCTATTCTTTGCATCTTTCCTTTCATCAAATATGCCTGTGGGAAACTAAGGTGACTCTACATTTTGCCCTTTCTCTTATCAGGCTTTCATGCATTGTTATCTTTTTAGTAGTTGACTTGCATTATTTTTTATTGATGTATGAGGTAAATGAAGTGACGCAAAATTTTGAAACTATAATTGTTAGATGGTAAAAAGCAAAGTCGATATGCAAAAATTTTCAGTTAGGGCTAACATCAGCTATACCTGGTTTAAGATGGCAGTAAGAGCTTTGGATAATGGTGATCTTGCAAACCTCAGATATTGGGACAAGTTTGTTTAGCTGACTTGTCATTTTAGAAATCTACATCTTTAATTTTTATTAACTTGTCGGACACCGTTTATACATTTATATTTTAACCATAAGTTATCAGATAATTTGATACCTTCTCCATTTTTTGGTAAGAGTTCTGAAGGATTTACAAGTACAGTAAGTTATGCTTGTGTATGGATCCCTACTTTAGCTTATCAAGTTGCCAATAGCTTACTACATAGTTGTTTCATACAATTTTAACTACTGCTACTGTTGTAGTTTTCAGTATGCAACTTGAACATTAAGATAAGAACAAGGGTGGATGCCTGCTTGCATAATAGAGAAATAAACATCATACTGGGCGTCCTTCGTGGAAAATATGCTGTTATTATCTTAAGGTTAAGCTGTGTGTATTGAAAATTTAAGTAACTCTTTCTTTGCGCATTTAACAGTTGAAGTTTCTTTACATCTTTAGATAAACTATTCTCTTTTTCACTGCGTAAGAAGCTGCTATAGAATCCATTCTCCTCTGCTGCAACCTAACACATCTACTTTTTGCCTTTGAAACAGTATTGCACAGAAATTTCCCTACCTGGTACAAAAAAAATTAAAAGAAGGCGTGGAAGTGAGGCGTGTTGCTCAGCTTGACTGGAAAATAATTGAAAGTTGTCTTGAGAGACCATTTTTGTCATCTGGCCTAGAGTTTGTTCCTTTGCCAGTTACTCACTCCAGTTCTCAATCTTTACTGTTCTTCAAGATTGTTCTTGTACACAATTTTCTCTCTTGACATCTGTTATTATTGCAGGTAATGCATGGAGAAGACTACGTGTCATTAGGCTTTCTTTTCGGGAAGTCTAGAGTTGCATATATATCCGATGTTTCACGCTTCCCTGAAAGCACTGAGTATGGTATGCTGTTGTATCCTTATGTTTTTCAGTTTTCCTGCATGCACGACAATTGGAACAAATTGAAATCTGCATCATCATTCTTATGTCAGATTTAAGAAAAACGATGGAAAGCGTGAATACTACCATCTCTAGCTGTTTGTAGCTTTTATTGTTGTAATCACGGTGCGTGTATGATGCTTGGTTTGAATAACTTACAGTATAGAGTAATGTGACAGCCTTTCCCAAAAATTTTAGTATATTCCAAATTGTTGTAGTTGCAATTGTGGTCAAATTGGCTGGATTTTCCGTTTGAGGAAATATCCCTGGGGATTTTTTATGCTACTGTGAGAGCTGTGTGCGGATCAGACTGTAGGGAATCAAACACATCTGGCATAAGAATGATGATGCTAAGGAAGAGAGCATACTAGTTATCTATAGTAAAAAGTTAACTTTATCTCATAATTATAGCATTTTAACTTTATCTCATAATTATAGCATTTCAGAGAGAGGTCACAGTTTCCATTAATATGACTTCATGACACACTTAACTTATCTCAAAACTATAAAGTGGAAGATATACGCCAAGCAGTGTATCATAGGTTCTTTAAACTAAAGCATATGTTATATAGTGAGTACACATCTGAACAAATATATGTATATATATTTAAGAAGTGTCCAAGGAGTGTCAGACACGGACACAGAAATGCCTATTATCTATAACCGAAACTATAATTTATCTCATAACTATAGCGTCTCATAAAGAGGTCACAGTTTCCATTAATATGACTTCATGACGTTCGCTATTTCTTAGGATTGCCTCAGTATCTTGCTTATAGTCAGAAAAAGCACATAAATGCAGCGACAAGGATAATCCTAATGCCTATATAAATCCAATCGAATAATAGTTTTAGATGCATCTGATTCATTTGGGACCATCATGCCAGGTACTTTAGCCCAAATCTAACACTGTAATAGTTAAAGGAAAAACTGGGCCAAAAATCCTGACCTGCATCCTACTAAAGTTCAAGGACTATCCTAAGCTTGGCCTAGATTAGGTCAGACTCAACTGGAAGGCATATTCCTTCTCCAAGCCCCTAATTCGAATCAACATATCTATAACCACTGTTTTCACTTCCTTCAACATTGCATGGTTCTCCTCCCCTCTATTTTAGAATGCAGTCTATTCTAGGTAGGTATTCAAACCGATATTTAGTTAGTTGGAGTCTCTTTAGGGTTTTGATGGGCATTTCTTCTGAAAACAGTAGATAACCTCCTACTTTTAGGGTTAGCTTGGATAACTTCACTTTTCGAGGTCTTATTGTGAACATTAGCATAGTATTTGATGCAATCTCAAAACTTCACAAGAATGATGCTTGGAGTGCACAATTCCCTTAGCCCTTAATGGAGGAAACGCCCCAAAACATAATTGAATGGAAGACTAAGATTTATGTAGCTGACCCAAAAACTTTGGGATTAAGGCTTTGTTGTTGCTACTCCTGTTGTTGTAGGTTCGACGCTTGAGAAATATAGATGGAGGGTGGGTCAAGTCCATTGGGTTTTGTTAGACTAGAGAAGGATGACTTAACATTATCACATTATTAATTTTCTCATCAATTCTGACTCTTTAACCTAGTCCAATTGATAGTTGGGTTTACTCAAAACATGTCTGACGTAACGTACTGGTCTGCTATGGCTTATTTCAATAAGTAGAGAAAAACAGAAGGAATTTAGCATGTAACCAAGTAACGAACATGTATTAACAAATCATTATGCACCATTGCTTTGTATGTGGACAACATGATCAAGGTTACGGAAAGCATCAGGCCACCTAGGCGTCGGACCCTGTGGCTAGAACCTACGCGCCTAGGCGGGAGCCTCAGCAGGGCCCAAGTGTTTCTGTAATTTCATAGTTTTTAATTACAATCAATGTTATTGGAATTGCTACACACCACTAGGTGTCAAACTGGGGCCTAGACGCTAGGCCTAGGAGGATTTCTTTTTTATTTAAGTGGTGGCGGAGGAGATTTAGCCAAAGGCTTGAGGAGGTGGAGGAGGTGCTTGTAGTTGGTGGAGGAGGCTGGAGTTCATGGGAGGTTAGATGATGTGGAGGCAGCAACAGAGGAAATCACAGCCAAAACCTAAGCGTTGTAGTCTGCAGAGGCGGTCTCTGATCCCCTAGGCGCTTCAAGACCTAGGCGGGCAGGGTTCGACTGGAGCTTTTTTAAACGTTAAACATGATTGCAACTTATACATCTTTAAAGACCTTTTTTTTCCGGAAAATTGAAGAAACCTTTTTTTTCCGGAAAATTGAAGAATTGATCCAAATCAGCATCTCTAGGTGGGAAATACAATTCATTAGCCAATACTAATAGATCACCTGTATGCAGCAGCATTGCACTGATTATATGCAGAGACACCAAGCCAATTCAAATCAACTCGTGTAACAGGTTTAGATGGGTTGACCCAATTTCCAGGCAGTAACAAAATAGTTATGTTGTGAACTCGATTGTTTTTTTTATTGTTTTCTGGTTGGATGAGTATCACTACCCCTTAAGAATACCGATGAGGTAGTCGTTTCCCTCTCCCTACAGAAGGGAAAGATGTCTTTATCCTGTAGACAATCTGAAGGGGAAAATAGAAAAATAGAGTTATTGACAATTATTCATTCCATTTATTCATTCTGGCCGATATACAAACATCTTACCAATAAGTAATACTTAAATGTGTTCACTAGTGCTGCTTGCCGATTCTAGCTGGCCTGCTTTCTGATGTCAGATATATGAAACCTGCATCCTCTTCTTCTTCTTTTCCCCTTCCTTTTTAATGATTATTTCATATGTTTCACTCTTGCAGTTATTTCAAAATCTGGAGCAGGACAGTTGGATCTTCTCATTCTAGATACTTTGTACAAGGTTTGTCGATATTTATTTTTGTCAATGTTCCTGCATCTTCATCTTAGTTGAGATTTACTGCGTTTCAGCATTTTTAATTGCACAAGTACCTTTTCAGTGATCTGCGACATTTCCATGGTGTCCCTCAACACATTTCAAATTTTGTCCTTCGCGTCTCACACATTTCAATTTTTGTGTCTGAAATGATTCTTTTTATTCCGACTGCTTTAATCTCCTCCTCTCTTTTTTCATTTCCCTTATAGTGGATTGTGTCGTGCACTTTTATTGCTGAGGGAATCTATTGAGAGCTTATTTTACTTTCCCTTAACCATACATCTTATGAAAGCAATTTGAGCTTCTTGGGAAAGTTTGCTGTTACCATTCTTATCCACTTCTATTTCATTGTCGCTAAATGCTTACAGATCTCTTTTTCACAATTCAATCCAATTATGGCTCCATCGTCAAGCATAGCTTATTGATTATTCCAAATAGCAGGTATCACTAGGTCCTTTTGGAAGTGACCCTAGAAAAGAACAAGCCAGCTTGGCCAAGAAGTTTGAGATTTTGTATATAATGACAGGTTGTTGACTAGAATGTTTCTTTGTGGTAATGGTTACTAGAGCTTCTACCTGAAATCGACCTGCTTGCAACACTAAAAGTTCATATTTTCAGTTTAATTTTGGGACGCAAATGAATTCAAACAAAACTGAGTGGAAGAAAAGATTTATGACAACCAATCCCAAAATTCTGAGAAAAAGGCTTTACTTTTGTGCCTACCTTCTTTGCTCGTCTTTTTGTGAAGATGCACAGAGAATGGGAGTCAAACATGAGCTAAGCACATTTTTTCTGTAATTGTTTTTAATTGTTTATCTGGTTTGTTTTCATCTGAAAGTTTGGGCTTATTGAAAGACTTTTGACTTCTGAATTGCAAGCTTGCTCCAGAAACACAAGACTAATTATGTTTTTTGATTATTACTTCTATTGAAGCAATTATCAAATTTATATATAATATCAATTCTTTCTTTCTACAGGAAGGCAGTCACAATACTCACTTCTGTTTACCTCAGGTTGATCTCGCTACAAGTCGTTTAGCACTTCCATGTTATTTTGTATAGTTTATTTGCATAAATTAGCTCATATTTAATGTTAATGCTTAGTTCGTTTCAGACTCTTGATGCTGTGAAAAGGATATGCCCTAAACGAGCTCTGTTCGTTGGCATGACACACGAGTTTGATCACGAAAAAGACAACAAGGCCTTGGCTGAATGGTCTGTCAGGTATTATCGACCAAATCTCTTCAATGAACCATCCGCCGATTATGAAAGTGTGCACAGATTCAATCATCATATTCTTTCCATTAGACTAGGAGCGTATAGCAAATGGTCAAAGTGGCTTATTACCCACTTCGAGATGTGTGGCAAATGACTTATTTTGGCTTATAATTCAAGGGGTTGACCAAATAAAACACAATTATAACCTTTATGATTTTACAAAGGCTAAGGTCTCCTTTAATAACTCACCACCAACCTCATGTCATTTTCCGTTATTTTGACAACAACAATGAATTATAATTCACTCATTGGTCAAACACACTATTATTCAAAATGGGTTATAATACACTAAATTTACCATACACTCTAGATTATAATTCACTTGGATCATAATCCATTTGCAAATTATAATACAAGTAGACTATAATTCAAAGTTTTCCAGACATGCTCTAGTTCCTTTTAGATTGATAATCGGCTCTGCTGTAATAATGGCTTCATTTTGTATTGTGTATCCACCTAGCACTGATAGCTTATAATTTAAATTCTTTGTTCAGGGAAGGGATTCCTGTGCAGCTTGCTCAAGATGGTCAGAGGATCTTTATTGACTTGTGATCTTCATGGACTCTATATTTGTCAAAGGAGCTTCCTTTTCTTCCTGATCCTGGTCGAACTTACTACACGTTTTTACACAGTGAGTGAACCCACAAATGTTTCCATTTAACATACCATGATTTTATGATTATTGTATAATGAAAACTCTCTCGCATTTATGCAAGTTGGTCAATGATCTATATATATCAATAAACATTATAGCTTTGATTCTTTATTGTGTTCATTGCTAAGTGAGATCTGCTCCATTTTCCTGTTACAGTCAAAATATCTTCAACACATTAAAGGAAGGACAAATTTTCAATTTCGACCTATTTAGAAAATTTATTGCAAAAATCAACCTGTTTTGAATTTAATTATCAAATTCGACCCAGTTTCAGCCACCTGAAACTAGGTCGAATTTGAAAAAAAAACTTACACAAGTCCCGTGAAGTTTAAGTCCCCGCTAAACTTGGATTAAACATTTTCACAATTTCACGGGACTTGAAGTTCCGTGAAATTTCTTTACTCGCCAGCTTCACGTGAAATTTGTTGATCTCGGGAAATTCCATCTGAAACATTACGGAACTTGAAGTCCCGTGATGTTTTGTACATAACAAAGCTTCACGGGACTTCAAGTCCCGTGATGTTTAACAACCCACTTAAACTTCACGTGACTTGAAGCCCCGTGAAGTTTCGTCAGTTTTTTTCAAATTCGACCCAGTTCAGCCAGGTGACTGAAATTGGGTCGAATTTGATAATTAAATTCAAAACAGGTCGATTTTGCAATAAATTTTCTAGATAGGTCGAAATTGAAAATTTGTCCTTAAAGAAACTATATCACCTGAAACCCACTAAAGAGACATTGAAGCCCATTATTTGTGGGTGGAGAGGCCCATTTAGACAACAGTGGAGAAGAAAGAAGCCTCCCTCGGGTCAATGAAATAGGAGATCCCCCAAATCCAGTTTGCATGTAAAATATCCATTTCGTACTGCCTAGCCTTAAAAGGATTGGAATCTGAAACTTTAGTACAACCACAATATAGCACGCCGAAGCTCATTGTTCAAGCCTAGGGTCTAGGTCTCTTGGAGTTTCGATATTTGTTTTTTTTCCCCATCTTATTTTGTTCTAATTAGTGATGCTCAATTATTTGAAGGTAATTATATCTAAATCGAGGTCTACTTGCACTTTGTTGCTTTGATTAGACACTTTCCAGCCTGCTTCTAGTTCCAAAGCCGGTACACACTCCAAGAAAGCTCCAGTTCAAGCTTTCGAGGCTTTTGCAAATGTGCAAATAGAGTTTAGGGCCCCTCCTGTCTCCGTCTAAATTATCTGGTAAATTTCGCAAAATTTCCGCTGTGATTTGCATAAGGGGCTGTTTGGTTGTACGTTTTTATCATGTAGAAGGATAGAAAGTGTAAAAAAGTGGGTCCCAATGTCAGCTTTCATCACTTTATATTATTTGTTTAAATTCTCTTTGACATGAAAAGCTTACACCTTTTGATGAGGTGTCACCGAAAGCAAAATCATCAAAATTAAGAGTGATTTTGCTGGAAAGCTTACACAATGTCATAAATGTGTCCAAAAAAATAATAAAAAAGTCAAAACCTTGTAGAAAGTGGTGAGGTGGATAATCACTTTTCATTTTGTGTCATAAATACTCTAGTTTATATTATACTATCCAAACAATGTAATACTATTATTTTAAGATTCATAAAGATTCATAATCAAACAATGTAAACACTCGAATGTAAAGTTGGGAGGTGGATAACCACTTTCTATTTTGTGTCATAAATATTCTAGTTTCCTAAAGACATCCAAACAGCCCCTAAAACTTTCTACTCTTTGAAATTTTTTAGCGAAACTCCGAAGTTTTGAGGAGTTTCAGGACATCCCTCGGGATTTTATAAAAGTTTCAGGAACTGAAATGTCGCTTTTTATACATTATTATTTCTATTCTTAAATCCCTATGTTTTCTCTTTCTTTGCAACGGTAGAAAATTGGGGCTAGGTTTAGGTTTTTTTAAGGGTTATTTAGATGTTAGTCCCTCACATCTTTGATAATTCCATATTAGTCCCTCAAATCTTAATGATTACTCATAGTCGCTGAAATTTGTGTCATTGCAATTTGGACCCTCAATAACCAAAATACCCCTAGCTACTTTTTTTGAAGGGTTGCTTGTAATTTAAGACTCTAAAGTCTACACATTTTTAAACTTTGATGACCAAAGTTTTTTTTGACATTTTGATACCTAAGTAAACATTTTTTAACGTTGATACCCTTTTTTTAACACTTTTGACACTCCAAACCTTTTTTGACACTTTCATACCACGAAGTTCACATTTTCTTATCATACCCAAAGATTCCAAATTTTATAATTTTGATATCTCAAAGTTTACATAATTTTAACGTTGATGCCATATAGTTTGGGATATCGAAGTGTCAAAAATAATACTTTGGGATATTAAAGTGAAAATGTGATGTGGTATGTGAAAATGGTGTCAAGTTGCAAGTTCTCAATTAAAGTGAAAATGGTATATAGTATAGTACAATGTCGATCTCACGAGGGAGGTTTGTGTGGGAAAATTTCTCAAAATGGTCCTAGAAATGTGTGTGGACAAAGAGGAATGAAAAGTGTAGAGATATAGCAAGTGTGATTATTAACGTGTCTAACAATGAATTGAACCACCATTTTTCATAGAGTCTTCATGTTTTCCCTATTTGATGAAAATATAATAGATGAATAGTCATTCAATGAATAATCATTTTATTATTTTATTTCCTATCAAAATTAAGCATACGATCCAGCCATTGGAATAATTAATTAACAACCAGTGAGTATTGAAAGAAATGAATTTCTTATTGGGGATTCCGGGGTATCACTCTTTAATATATATATATATTTGCTTGGTACCAAGCATATAAATTTTATGCTTGGTATGAGGTGATTCAATCTCCTCCACTCATTCAAATATGGAACTATTTGAATGAGTGGAGGGGATTATGCCACCTCACTACCAAGCACAACTTTTTGTGCTTGGTACCAACATACACACACACACACACACACACACGACCACACCACACATAATATATATATATTATATTAATAATATATAGTATATATAGTATATATATTATATACGCAAACTTGTGTCAACGTTAAGTGGATTAGTCAAAAAGTTATCCCCAACTTTTAGGCACTCATATTACTTAGGGATCCTTGCATGATATGAATCTTATTTTATTAATAAATGATTTGTAGAAATTTGGTGGACATCAACAGTTGATAGGAGTCTTACTTCTCCCCCCTCTCTCTCATTTCTCATATATATATACTATATATATATACTTATACTAATTAATATAATAATATATAGTAATAGTAATAGTATATTAATATTATATATATTATGATATATATAATAATTATATAATATGAGAATATAGGTAGCTTGGTTACAAGACAGATTTTGTGCTTGGTAGTGATGGTGTCACATCCCATTTCCCATTACATGTGAATTTGTTCCACATTTGAATGAGTGGAGGGGATTTGACACTCACAATACAGCACAACTTTTTTTGCTGGTACCAAGCATACCATATTCTCTCTCTCTCTCTCTCTCTCATCTCTCACGTCGAATCTCAAAGTCAGTTCATATCTACTATACTAAATATATATATAGTAAATATAATATTATATAATATAATACTATAATATTATATATATACTAGTAGAGAGAGAGAGAGAGAGCAGAGAGAGAGATGATATGCTGGGTTGGTACAAGGCAAATAAAAGTATACTTGTTAGTGATGACATAATCCTGCCACCTCATTCCAATGGTGTATTATCCCATCACTTCTCAACTCATGTGAATGGGTCTCACCATGATGAGTCGAGGGATTGTACTACATCCACTACCAGCACAAAATTTGTGCTTCGGTAACAAGATGCGCTCGCGCATAGAACGCGCACGACACATACACACACAGCACATAATATATTATAATATATTATTATATATAATATATATATACATATATAATATATACTAATAATATTTATATATATATATATAATATATATATAGTTATGATAGATTTGTTTTATCAATAGAATATAAGGACCCAGGTTTCTTTCATGATATGTACAAAAGAATTCTCATCGAAAAGATAAATAGTTATTTCTTCCTATAGTATAAATGAAGAATTCATTCTTGTACACATTTTTCATACCCGATTATTCCAAATTTTATAACTTTGATATCTTAAGGTTTACACATTTTTAACGTTGATGCCCTATAGTTGGGATATCAAAGTGTCAAAAACAATATTTTCGGATATTAAAGTGAAAATGTACAAACTTTATCATAACTATAGCATTAGAGAACCTTTAACTAACCAAAGTTAAAAGAAAGTGCAATCTTTTAAGACATGAAAGAGTCGAAAATTTTTAATATTAAAGTTAAAAATGTCTAAACTTTAGAATACCAAAGTAAAAAAAAAACCTTTTTCTGAAGAAAATAAGTTTCAAGAGAGAAATCGTAACTAGGGTTATTTTGGTCATTGAAGGACCAAGTTGCAAGACCACTAAGGATTTGAGGGGCTAGTATGGAATTATTGAAGATTTGAAGGGCTAGATATCTAATAACCTTTTTTTAAATAATGTTTTCTCTTTCTCTGCAACTGTAGAAAATATTATGCTAAGTTTTGGTATTTTTTTGTGAACTGCCCTCAAATTTAGGGCTTCTTCTGTAAATTTCGAAGTCATGAGGACTCTGTGCACAGCAGCAGCCTCAAGCTCATTGGAGCTCGTAAAATTTTATCCCTAAATTATAGCCGAACAGAACAGTGAAGGATAAGTAGGTTAAAACTGAGGCGAGGCTGACGAAGTCCTGTACAACCTTTTCACCTGCCCCCCAAAAAAAATAAAATAAAAGAAAGAGAAGCGACGGTGATGACGCCATCGTTGACGATGACGTGTCAGGCCGTGGGCCCCGCTTGTCTGAAAAGGATTTTGACCCACGGAGGATATTTCCCTCCCTCCCTCCCGAGCGTGGGGACCACCACAGGAACCTTGTCCACCAAGAAAAGTCTACGCCAGTTGCTCCTCCTCTCTCCGTCCTTTTCTTACCGTGGCAGTTCGAGCTCTGGGCTTGAGCTCGTGTTTAGACTTGTGTGAGCTAACGCATACT